AAATGCCCCCTCCTGTCGCCGAATTGCAGGCATGGGATTCATCTATGTGCGTACAATATCGTGATACACATCACATTTACATGAATTATTCTTTCAGGTCACTTTTTATCCGAACGATAAACGACAGCAGACCTATCTGATAATTCAGAATGAATCCAACATCAGAATCATGTTTAAAATGAAGTCAACGAGACCTACACTCTACAAGATGAAGCCTGTTTTTGGAATAGTCCATCCCCGTGAAAAGGTACTCTGCTCGAACATCCTTCTTCAACAGTAATGACTCCAGACTTGCGGCAACTTGTGCGGTAACTTGAGCCCTACCACTGGCTCCGGACCACACTGTGGTGAAGTGAGTGCCCAGTGGGAGGGGGTACCGTCCGAACAGTTACTTGCGTTTGTGTAGCGGTAACGAACATGGTAATTGACGCATTATTTGCGCTTGAGATGCGCTACGTAGTATTGGCATTTGCGACTTGCATTGACTTATGCGGTAACTTGAGCTCCACAAATGGCTTCGGATCACACTGTGTGGATCGGATGATTAAATCGTGGGTCATTTGGTCCGGAAGCCTACGGATATGTGCTGGTCGAGCTAGCAGTGAGAAAAAAGCAAAAGAAACGACTCAAAACCCCCGAAAACGAACGCTGCTGAGTACAAACGTTAAGCGATCATGCGAGCGTCCCGGTGCGCAAAAGTCATATGGACGACGAGCTAGTGAGGGAGTATACAAGTGGTCTATATTATCACAGTACACCAATTTTTAAGCGAAATGGAAGGGCAGAGGAGAATTCCGTGGGCGGGGTCTGGCCTTTGTAGCAGGCCTTTAGCGACCTTGCTAGTCATTTTCGAACTGCGAAGTGATAAACTGGTGAGGCGGGCTGCTTTGTACAATCCTACTATATATAATCCGCTAAGTTTGTCTGTTGGTGTGTTTGTGTGTGTTTGACCGGAAATTCATAACTTTCTTCAAAATAGCGATAAAGCGCTCAAACTTATAAGTGATCTAGGGGGTCGGGCAGGAACACCATTGGTGGGTGGCAGGAAGTGTTAACAGCTGATAAGATACTATAAGGGGCCTCATAAAGGCAAAGTCAGGAAATTCATAACGCGCGTCACAGCAAAGCTAGAGCGTTGGCTCCAAGAAGTAAGATAGGGGGCAGGATGGGAACATTATTGGTGGGTGGCAGGACGTGATAACAGCTGATAAGATACCATAAAGAGCCTTAGAAGGGAAGGGTCACCAACTTCGTAGCGCGGGTCATAGCAGCGGCGGAACGTTGGTTCCAAGAAGTAGGACAGGGGGCAGGATGGGACATTATTGGTGGGTGGCGGGACGTGATAATAGCTGATAAGATACCGTATAGGTTCTTAGAAGGGGATCACCAATTTCAAGACTCGCTTCAGAGAAACTGTAGAACGTTGGTTCCAAAAGTAAGATGGGGGGGGGGGACAGGATGGGAACATTGTTGGTGGGTGGCAGGAATTGATAACAGCTGATAACATATCATAAAGCCCTAGAAAGGGACTAAATTCAAGTGCGCCGCAGCGACGGTAGTACGTTGACTGCAAGCGGTGAAATAGGAGGTAGGATGGGAACGGTGGGTCAGAGAGGAAGCTCCCAAATCTATGGGCAAATACTTAGTGAGCCAAATTATTCCTCAGCGATAGTCGAAATTGATTCGACCGCTAAACCCTCGAGTTTCACCCAAAAGTGAAAAACTGAAGATGTTTTTCGACAGCTGCTCAACGGAAGTGCTAGGATATGAGGAGCTTTCACTAAGATCCCGATTACCGAAATTCTTTCAACCGCTAAGCTTTTCTACTTCCAACAAATGTTGGGTGTTTTTATAAATGTGATAAGCACTAGACATTGGCAAATGCTTATCAAAGGTGAAATATGATGAAATGGGCCGCCGTTTGAAACATGGGAATTAGGCCACGTGGTCTGCACGAAAATCCTGTCAGTGATCAATACCATAGGTTTGATCATGCGCGCAGTAGTGCGCGTCAGCCAAACTGGTGAAAGTGATCGTGGAAAATCTCTTGAATAACATCCGACACTATTTACTCGCTGGCTCCCCAGTTTTCGGAGTTTGGATCGAAACTTCGATTTGTCTGGACATTGCTTTTCAGGAATAGTTTGACCCCTGAACATGAATATCGCACTCACTCAGCATAAACAGCCTGGCACCCGCTCACTGGCGAAGCGCCAAATTATCTCATGCTACCAGTTACCTCATTTTTTTTACAATGGGTGAAAAGACCTCTGAGTTAATTTGCCCGCGTGGACACAAATATCGCATCTGCGTGTGTGCTAAGGGAGTCAGTTATGGTTGAGCCCCAGCAAGGGAGAGAATCACTATTGCAGGCATTCGGAAAGAGTGCTACCCTGTCTCACCACGTTTTCATCCCTTCGCTTCATCTTTTATTTGGTAGAGGAAGCAATACGTTAATTAGGTACGGTCGTCCATTTGTGGGCGGGCGGGCTGAGGAGCGTGAGGGTCGGTATGTTGTAGCTTGATAGAGCCTTATAAGAACCCTTCCTTGGAGAAAGTGCTCATGGAATTCCGTCCTGTCAGGCGTATAAATCCTATTAGTCTCAAGGATTTGAGGCGGAGGTGGTGTAGTGACAAGTGGCGCGCTTACCACTCGCGCGGCGCCGGGTTCGAATCGACACCCGCCCAGGCCAACCAAGCCTTCTACCCTCCGGGGACGGTAAATTGGTACCAGATTCGTCTGGGAGGATAAAACACTGACTTGTACATCGGCTGGCCACCGCAAGTCATTGTATAGGCCACATCGCATTCAATAAGCCACTACGATTCTGAATGGAAGTAGAATGCGTGCCGCATCCCACAAAGGGATTGATCAACGGCGAAGACTTATCCTTTATCCTTAAGGATTTATCGTGCCAACTGCCTTCAAGATCATTCCGAGCACAACTTCATGATGTACAGCATAAGCTACTTTTCAGTTCTCAATTCGACTAGTCTATAAAGGGATCAAAGCAGGAAACAGAATACCCACCGACGACAGGTAATATTTGGTATAATTCTATGCAGCAATTTCTAGGCACTCGAACGATACTCGCGGAAACTCCCGAATTGGTTCCGGGGTTTTCAGTTCTTTCTCACGACTTCTTTTAATATGTTTCTAAATCTGCTCATTGTGCTGCTACGTCTAACCTTGCTGGCGAGGCATATGTCATACCTCCTGATATGGGCGAGGCAAAGGGCGTAGTTGTGAAGATGCGGAGTGAAAAAAAGGGCAAACAGACAGGTGAGAATGACGAACGGGCTTATCAATGCGGCGAAAGGATTTACTAACTTTCGCTGACGGGCTGGGCCGAGGCCGGTTGCGCCTGAACCATGCGGCCGTACGCCAGAAAGCCCCTTTTCGGAGACGGCGTCAAATTAAGATGACGTAAGTTGTTTTCACAGGGATAGTCGCAAATGAAACCAATGCCTAATTATTCCCTATAAGGACTACAATGCCAAACGTACAGCTATTACCCTCATCGCAACAGTCAGTGTCCGAGTTCCCGCAAGGATACTAACGAGCACATGCGGAGCAATAGCCGAAACCCACTTGATTGCAATTTTGTAAAACATTCCCAACAAGCAATCCCGACCGTAGGCAAGGCGGATACAAGAGCAAATGGGTAGTAAGCTAAGGCAGCCCAGGGACCGCGTGGGGCTAATCGCCGCCCTGCGCCGCCTTGTGTAGTTCCCCTTACTTCCTGTCTTCTCGCGTGTGAAGGATTTCATGGGCAATTCGAGAATGGATTTTCCCATAATTTGTCAAGTTACAGGTTTACCGTTGTAGTTGCTACATATGCTGAAAAGTCGATGGAAGAATGGAAGAAAGGAAGCAACGAAGATGTGAGACCCCTACAATAAAAGTAGTGGGAATGACTGCGATTGCTTGAAGCATACGTCCTACGTCGCTTATCTGACGGCCAGAATAAGAAAAGCGATCAAATGCTTCCTTTCTATTTCAAGTTCTGAAGACCACTGTCATGCCATTTACAATCAAAGCTGAATAATGGACGTGACATGGCAGTTACCCTCAAACTTGAGAGTGTGGTCGTGAGGTCGTGTTATCGTTGCTGCAATGCCGTATGAATGATATCACTATCCCCTCGCAGGAAGCGCGGAAAGATATCCCCCACTTGCAATCTCGCCCTCATGCCATTCTCTATCGATGCCCTCGTCGTCTCTGGCGTTCTGCCTAACTCTGCAATAGCGCTTGCGCCCCACTCTCGCGGAATGGTCCACAGCGGACCCTCGCTCGCAGGACAGGGAGCACATCGATTTATACTCTTGCGCAACTGCCATCCAGCGACACTCGCTGGGGACAGGGGAGCACATCGATTATACTCTGCGCTGCACTATATTCGCAAGCATGAGTCAGAAGGGTATGAATGCAGAGCGGCGAGAGCCAGAGAAACGGCGGGCATCAGTAGAGATACTTGTTTCAAAGAGTGGAAGATGTTTAGAAGGGATATCTCACGGCTCAAGGGTAGTGATAGCATACGGCCCCCAGATTCTCGCCGTAGGCGCGTGGAGACTGACGGGCGCGTGGCTGAAAGACGTGTGCTGCCCTCCAAAACAGTTCGACTAACAAAACCCGAGAGCACTATCTCCGGGTCTGCAGACTGGAGCGCGTGACAAGACAATCGTAAGCGACGGACGAGTTGTTCTGCTCGAATATGAAAAGGATGGGGAACTTCGATATTGCCCGCTATAGAGCCTTGTCCCCATTCAAATTCACAATTCGCCGCTCCAAGTCCACGAAATGATGCATATCAGGAGTCTACCACACATCGTCGAGCGATACGTCGTTCGCGACGACGCGACAAATTACGATTGTCTTGTCTGCTTTTTCATTAACGGGGGGTGCTGCTTTGCACGTTTGAGTCACCTGGTAAAACCGATCGTAAGCTGTACCTTGTTTCCATCCTGCCTCTGAATCAACATAATTTCAGCCACATGAAATGAAAAAGAGAATATTGAAGATACTGTACACCGGTGTGAATGACAAAGTCGAGACACCACCACCAGTTCCAGTGTCAGCTGAGGTGAAAGTGCCAACTGAGGTGAAAATAAGTGTCGGATCAAAAGAAGAGCAAAAGGTTGAACCAAAGATAGCGCTGAAGCCTCCAAAGAAGGTTACTCCAAAGCCTGAGCCAAAAGTTCCCACGAAAGTGGAGAAGAAGGTTACTCCAAAAGCCGAACCAAAAATCACTCCAAAAGTTGTGCCAGAGAAAGTATCGACAGAAGAAGTTAAAGCATCGCAAAAAGCGCAGTGGCTGGAAGTGCAAGAGCAGGACCGGCTGTGGATGAAAAAGCTTTTGCAGAGAGAAGATCGTTTTATGGATACGGCCGAGTCAGAGCCAAGAGTAAGTCGTGCAGTACTGTGTGAAGCGTTCTAGAATACCTTGATGTTCTCTGCAGGCCAAAGCGCTCAAAAAAGCAATGATACCCCCAATGGAAGATGCCGAACTGAAGAGTTTGATCCAACAGGAGCGCAGATCGTACCTTGACGGTTACTACGATGGCTACAAAGCTGGTTTGACGGAGGTGTAAAATTTGTTCACTTACTACAAATTTCCACATTTCATGTGCCACTCACAGAAAGGTTTTTAAGGATAAATCAGCAAAGGAAGGCGAAACAATCAAGTCGGCAATGGACAGACTATCTGTTAAAGAAGACAATGTAAGTCACAGGCTAGGTTATTTTGCCCAGTGATACCTGAGTGCTGTCGCCATACTTCGCCCGTGCCGCCGCACTGCCAGCCACATGCTCAACCATAGGCAGCGCGCTACTTGTCTACGCCCTCTCACTTATGTTTGTTTCCTACACTGTTCGCTGCGATATTATGGTACCGACGCAAGTGCTGCACCTTGACGATGGCGGGGACGGAGCCGGGAACAGCACTCTGGTTAAATGCCCCTAACCTGCACCGTTCGTCGAACCATCAGACGTGCCTTCTATCTCCGCCCGCTCAACTGTGCCATTCCGGGAGGATCTAGTATGATGGCTGGTCGATTGTAGAGGGTAGGTCGTTCTAGAGAGGAGAATTCAGGACGAGGGTCGTATTTAGCGAACATTTTCCTCAAGAGCTGAGTGCCCTCATTCTGGTTGGCCGCCAGGTAGCTGTGCTGCCTGGGGGGGGGGGGCACATGATGCGTACTGGAAGAGCACAACAAGGACCAGATGCGTGGTTGGGGGTCTGAGGCAATCTTCTTGTACCGCGACACAAACGTTTCAGGGCACTTGTTAACCAAGAAGCCGCTCTTCTCTTTTCTTTTTTCCTTCCTCCTTCCTTCTTTTCCTTCCTTCCTTCTCTGATCCCTCCTCCTTTACCTTCTCCCTTCAACTACTGGACTGGTAGATGCCTCGTGAAAATATCCCTGGACCCTCGCAGCGAGAGCACGTCTGGTTGACAAGTGCCCTCGTAACCCGACACAGAGCGCTTGATTCGGAAAACTACTCAACCAACAAGCACCATCTCGGAAGCGAAGTACATCCACAGATTCTGTGCTCTGAAAAAGGACTTCTTCTCTCACTTTCACCCTTGACCCCTACTGCTCGTGATGTTTTCAGCCGGAATATGTAATCATGAGGATTTCGCTGCTTGTAAATTCATGAATAGAATCTTGTTCAAGCCAGATCGTCCTACACCTCTCCAGAATTACCAGATGAGAGAAGGAAACGCTGGAATCTCGCAATAGTTCAATCCATCTTCCGATCCCACTGACAAAACCTTCTATGAAGGTTTTTTGTCCAAATACAGAGATGTGCCCTTCTCTTACAGCCCGTCATCATGAATTAGTGTTCTGCAACAGACACTCACCCTCATATGTATTGCCTTTTCAGTCTAAAAATCGCGCTTATAAGATCGGATTCATCGAGGGCTATCATCGCGCCCGTCTTCTGAAAGCGAGCTACAAAGATAGATCCGTAATGAAAGCCTTAGAACAGATGGCAGCAAAGGAAGTTGAAGGTCACGGTCAGTCAATTTTCTGAATCGATTTGAGATTCTGAATTGATATGGCCTCTCTCAAAATGAACTGCGGTAAATGATGTCATTTTAGAGAAAAAGAAAGATGGCACTCTAGTCTCAGATGGAACGAATGTGAGAGCGAAAACACCTGGTGGAGGTGAACCAAGTGAACCACCATTTCTTATCGATCCCCTACAGAAACGAGACATAGTC